TAAAAATACTCCCCTCCCCCCCCCCCCCGAAGCAGGCAACCCAAGCAGATTAAGTTTAGGCTTTATAATTCTACAACTTCTATAATCCTACTAAAAATTCAGCCGCAAAACCCTAATTTTCATATTTAACCACTCCCACTGGCAACTGACATATGCAGACAAATATGATTGGCTGAGGTGTCAATTATTGTTAGAGAACCTTCACTTTACCTTAACTATGCTGTATGAGAAGCAAGATGGTGGCACCCAATGGGGTAATAACTGGGTCTTTGAGGACAGAATGGAGTAAAGGTTGTTCACTGATTATAGTTGTAGCTGATTGTTACTGAATAGTTTGAATTTGGCAACGATTGCTGTAAACATTTGCAATGAAAATGAATAGTCTGAAGTGTATGGATTACCCCAAACCCAATGGATTGTCTGTTGCTCCAATGAGCACTGGAGGAGCAGAGAGGGGAGGGAGGAATCCGTGCGGCGAGCGATTACTGACAGTCACTATTCTGCAGAGAGAAGAGTCAGCGGTTACATGATCACTCAGCTCTCAGTATCCAGAAATGGCATGTGGCCAGTGGAGTGTCCCGGCTCTAATTATTGGGAATGGGAAGAGTATATTTTTTACTCCCCCAATAATTTTTGTTTTAAAGTAAACCTTCACTAACCTGAAAAATTCAAGCTGAGCATATCAATAAAAATATATAATACATAGGTCACTTGCAAAAATGCATGTCAAAACTATGAGCAGATCCAGAGTTACAGACAGACATTCCCTTTAAATGCTGAGTTTACTCACCTTCTCCTTCCTCCAAACACGCCCCTCCCCTCCAGTTGGTCAGTAAAGTAGGCTATACTCACAGCAATTGTCAGCCGATTCTTGATGAATTGGCTGAAATTCACTGCGTAGGTGCTGCTGTCCCTCGATCAGCTGATTGAAGGAGCCGTTGGAAGACTCTCAACTGCAGGCTCTGTTCGGGTATTCTATGCAATAGAAACAGCAGGGGATTCCTCAATCAATGCTCATAAGCGTTGCTGGAGGAATCTGTTCTATTTTTTTGTTTGGGCCGCAGGTTGAGCAAAACTAGAACCAGGTATACCCAGCTTTAGACTACATATGATACTTGAGGATCAGCAGGAGTGCTTGAGAAACAAAAGGCATGGGCCCAACCTCAACTTTTACAGTAATGCCTCATTCACACAGGCCGTATCGGGTCGTTCCTGGGAAGGACAGGGGCAGCGTGTGATTGTACGCAGCAGCCCATTCTTCCCTATGGGAGGACGCCGCCGTACGCTCACCCGAACTGCACATCCGTGGATGTGCATCTTGGGTGAGCGTACGACCACATACTTCCATAGAGAAGAACAGGCTGCTGCGTATAATCACACGCAGCACCTGTCCTTGCTGGGAACGGCCCAATACGGCCGTGCACGCCGCGCGGATCTGTACGGGCCAACACTTAGCTATGTGAATGAGGCCTAAAGGTAACATTTAATATATATTCTGCTGCATTTATCTCTAGATTTACTGATCATCAATCGACTGTTGTCGAAAGGACCGGTACAAAAATTTTTTGGCTGAACAGGGACTGCAGCCAATCGGAAGCTGTAAGCGTGGATGGGGGAATTAAAAGTTTTTTTTCTTGTTTAGCCTCTGAACCTGAAAACACTAACAGTGAATGGCTAGCTAAAGACCCAATAGCTGACTGCAAAAACAATAAAAAAGCTTTTATGGGCAGGCAGTGGCCATTGTAACTGCAAGAACAGTCATTTGCCTTTATAACCAGAGTTGCATGTTCTGCAGAGGAACGTTTGAGAAGTGGAGCCTGTGCTCTCTCCAGGCCTGGTTTTAATTAGTCCTCTGTTGTTGGAGCCTTGTTTTCCTTCTTCTTATTACATTTTTCCATTTGTTCTTTGAAGCTGTCGTCAGAGGGGCCTGGGAAACGTTGCCCTGGGGCCTCAGATTCTTGATATCCTCAATATGAATTCCAGAGCACTCTCACTTTGCTTCCCTTCTTAGAGAAGTAGGATTACGTGTCAACCAGGCTACACACAGAAGAAATTTACTTTGCTGTTCCCAAAAGGAACATTGCAAGTATATAAAAATATCATTATTCAATTATTGGATATTTCTGAGCTTTTACCTGCATTTTTTTTAAGTTGGTGACAGGGTCTCTTCAAGTACTACATGTGATTTTTTATTTTATTTGCACTAATGGTTTCAAGGGTCTGCCCTCTTCTTTTAGGTCCAAGCACTAGCGATAAACAGGGTTTTAGCAAAATGCTAAAAAAATAAATATGCAATTAAGATAAGAATCTGTAGGTATGAGGGAAGAATGAAAAAACACAATATGGGCTAACAAAAGTGAGATAGGTGAGAGGTAGAGAAGCGGGCTATGGATTGGGAGGAGGTGGGGGAGTCATAGAGGTAAATTTGCTTATAATAAGAGCAATTTAGAAATCCGGATTGGGTCTATTATCTCTTGTGTCAAATATAAATACAATTCTGAGCCTGATGTAGGGGTACTGCTCAGACCCCGAAAGCGCTTGTACTGAATGTCAATTTGTCACTAAAGGACTTTTTGCTTCAAAACTCTTTGGTGTGCTGGTGACAATCCTTACTATATTTGCATTGTTCACGGTGCCGTCCGTGGTCACTTCAAGCACTCACCTGCTTTGCAGGTTCACTACTATTCCGGTAAGTAGTGCAGCTGGTTTTCTACTACAAATATAATTATCATTCCCAGATCAAAGGTTTAACTTTCCTGGATGATATCAAAATTTCCTTTAAAGCCCCAAAACAAAAATATAATACATTGCAGCTAAGCAGACCTTAGATGTGTATGGTGGTTTCTGGAAGTAACACTTCCTGTGCTAGGGTGACAACCTTACTCACTTTATACTGCAATGTTGTCAGCCAAAGTTCCCTTGATTTGGAATACAAACACCTTCACCTGTCGCCGTCTTCTATATAGTGGGAGGTACTCTTTAGTTTACAGTAGACAGCTGGCAAAGTTGATAACATTGTTTGGGATTTCAGTTTAATGCACAGGAAGTTACAAGGATATATCATTTCTGGTAGGATTAACAGTATGTCTTGCAGAAAGTAAAGAGGTTTCTGTACTTGCAGAAAATGAACTTAGCGTGAAAAAAGAAAACTAATGAAGCCACCACATCTAAGGGCCAAAAAGCTGCAATTTATTTTTTTCCTTTGGTTTAGATATGAACATTAATGTCCTCAATCGAATTGTCTTATTGTGCAAAATAATGTCTCATGCTAGTAATCAGCTTCCTGGTATGGCGTGTCTGTGCAGGCTCATTCTTTTTCATCATCTGCTTTTGTTCACCAATACAACATCCTGGGTTGATTTTCTTACATTGAATGAGATACACCAGCTGTACCACTACCAATCCCATGAGGCATTGCAAGATTCCCATAGCCACAGGCATGACACCCAGAGACTGATGCATCATGGGATTTGTAGTTTCAGCACAGCTGGAGGGCCGAAGTTTGGCTACCCTTGAGCTGTATGATCCTGTAATGTTAAAGTCATCATATGTATCTAAGTAAATGCAATATTTTTATCTTTGGTATCTTTCCATTTGTTTTGCTGTTGGCTTCTACCCTTCTCCTACCATCTTCATGTACACGTCTGGTGTCCAATCTGTGGCCCTAGGGTTGCATGTTGCACTATGGAACTAACTGCATGGCCCTTAGGTCCCAGCAGCCAGTAGCAGGAACATTGGCTTATAAAGGGATTATAATGACAGTGATCTCTAATTTCTCTTTTTGCATTACAGGGTTCTATCTGTGATGACTGCGTGTGCCTTACCTTCTGCGGACTTTGCACGCTGTGTCAGATGGCACGCGAACTGAAGGCCAGGAAATGAGATGTCCTTCCAGACAAGCCAGAGACAGGATGGATGTATTTACACACAGTTCTGCTTTGCCTTTTTTATGTGATGTAGTGCATACAGCTATGAAGCAATTTAGTGCCCCCACCGCACCACCACCTAGTATATATTTCCTCTCTGCAGCCCTCCTGCTTTAACCGTTTACCCCTGGCGGTTTTCTTTCTGAGCCAACTTCTGCATCCTGTTATATCTAGCAAATTCCTAATTGTTTTACTTATTGAGGGGCCAGGGGGAAGAAAGAGAGGCCCCAAGGTTTAGCAGGATTCTCATCGCTGAACTATACCATTCGTATGCTGTCATCTTATAATCAATCACATCCAGTGTTTAAAGACTGGAAAAAAAACTGCAGTGAAACACCAATCCTCGCATTGTGAAGTAAGCCGTTGATGTACACATGTATGCTCCTTGGGCCCCCTACAATTTTGAACCAATGCCTGGAAGTCCTAGTAATTTCTAATCTACCAGATTATGTGCATAACAAACAACACGGAACAACAAACACCCAAGGAGGAAAGATTTTGGAGCAGATCCCAGATGTTGATCACATCAAGGTTTAGGCAACAGATTGGTGGATCAAGGCATTCAGATGTGTCATCTGTACAATGTATCAAGAAATGAGTCACCAGCACACCGAAGGTCCAGTTTATGTTCCCGCCTTTATTCAGTACAACGTTAAGATAGGCATGGTATCACATATGCACACAATGTTTTGGAATCTCCTGTGATCTCTTCATCAGGCAAAACATAGTTACTATCCAAGGAGGAAAGATTTTGGAGCAGATCCCAGATGTTGATCACATCAAGGTTTAGGCAACAGATTGGTGGATCAAGGCATTCAGATGTGTCATCTGTACAATGTATCAAGAAATGAGTCACCAGCACACCGAAGGTCCAGTTTATGTTCCCGTCTTTATTCAGTACATCGTTAAGATAGACACGGAATCACATATGCAGACAATATTTTGAAACCTCCTGAGGCCCCTTCGTCATAGTCACTATGTTTTGCCTGATAAAGGGACAAGCAGAAGGTTCCGAACATTTGTCTGCGTATGTGATGCCATGTCTATCTTAATAACAAATAGAATAAAGATGGGACGATAAACTGGACCTTCGGTGTGCTGGTGACTCATTTCTTGATGCTTTAGACTACGCAGCGCCATCCACAGGTCATTTCAGCACTCATCATAAGACTTCGATTGGGATTCCAGTCTGGAATGCGAGGGAACATCTGCTATGTGTACAATGTACTCTCCTTCCTCAGTGTACTCGAGGCTATTTTGGTAGTTTAACAGAGGTGCCTTTTAAAAATATATATATATTGTATTAGAGCTTAGCGCAGTTCTTTTTTTTAAAAATAAAATCTTCTTAGATATCCAGCTTGGTGCTTGTGGACAGACAAAATAAATCTTAAGATGGTTACAATGCTCATACTAGTGATTTAGAATGACTGTTCAAGACCTCATGAACCGTATTTTACAGAGGAATGTGATTATGATGTATCTCCCTACCTCTTTTGTAAATGTCACCTTTTAAAGCAGCTGATATTTTTTTATTCTCTGAAAATTGCATGTTTTTGAAGTTTTATATTTTGTGATAGAACACAGGAATAAACCAGGCTTTTGTACTCATTGTGGGGTGTTGTGATGAATAATTTGTGGTTCAGTATCACAGGTGCTTTATACTAGTCTAGTATACGGGTATACATTTCATACAACTGATTGCTGACTTTGTGAAATGGAATGTAAGCGAAGTACACCTGTATGTACATTGTGGAAATGAATAACCGCTGCCTTTACACTAAATATAATAATGTAATGTAAACAACAAGATATAGCAGGTCCGGTGGCAGGGAGGGTTCCTTCGAAAGCCAGAGACAGGATGGATGTATTTACACACAGTTCTGCTTTGCCTTTTTTTATGTGATGTAGTGCATACAGCTATGAAGCAATTTAACGCCCCCACCGCACACACCACCTAGTATATATTTCCTATCTGCAGCCCTCCTGCTTTAAACGTTTACCCCTGGCGGTTTTCTTTCAAAGCCAACTTCTGCATCCTGTTATATCTAGCAAATTCCTAATTGTTTTAGTTGTTGAGGGGCCAGGGGAAGAAAGAGAGGCCCCAAGGCTTAGCAGGATTCTCATCGCTGAACCATACCATTGGTATACTGTCATCCTATAGTCAATCACATCCAGTGTGTTCCTGCCTTTATTCAGTACAACGTTAAGATAGACATGGTATCACATATGCACACAATGTTTTGGAATCTCCTGTGATCTCTTCATCAGGCAAAACATAGTTACTATCCAAGGAGGAAAGATTTTGGAGCAGATCCCAGATGTTGATCACATCAAGGTTTAGGCAACAGATTGGTGGATCAAGGCATTCAGATGTGTCATCTGTACAATGTATCAAGAAATGAGTCACCAGCACACCGAAGGTCCAGTTTATGTTCCCGTCTTTATTCAGTACAACGTTAAAATAGACATGGTATCACATATGCACACAATGTTTTGGAATCTCCTGTGATCTCTTCATCAGGCAAAACATAGTTACTATCCAAGGAGGAAAGATTTTGGAGCAGATCCCAGATGTTGATCACATCAAGGTTTAGGCAACAGATTGGTGGATCAAGGCATTCAGATGTGTCATCTGTACAATGTATCAAGAAATGAGTCACCAGCACACCGAAGGTCCAGTTTATGTTCCCGTCTTTATTCAGTACAACGTTAAAATAGACATGGTATCACATATGCACACAATGTTTTGGAATCTCCTGTGATCTCTTCATCAGGCAAAACATAGTTACTATCCAAGGAGGAAAGATTTTGGAGCAGATCCCAGATGTTGATCACATCAAGGTTTAGGCAACAGATTGGTGGATCAAGGCATTCAGATGTGTCATCTGTACAATGTATCCAGAAATGAGTCACCAGCACACCGAAGGTCCAGTTTATGTTCCCGTCTTTATTCAGTACAACGTTAAAATAGACATGGCATCACATATGCAGACAACGCTTTATCCTAGTTTAGTATCCGGGTATACATTTCATACAACTGATTGCTGACTTTGTCAATTGGAATGTAAGCGAAGTACACCTGTATGTACATTGTGGAAATGAATAACCGCTGCCTTTACACTAAATATAATAATGTAATGTAAATAAGGTTACAACAAGATATAGCAGGTCCGGTGGCAGGGAGGGTTCCTTTGAAAGTGTTTTTCAATAGTAATCTGCGTTCATGCTTTAAATATCACTAAGGTCTCGTTCACAATTGGGCATTGGGGTGGGGGACACCTTCCTGAACATTTGCTGGACTTTGTTTCCCAAAGATGTAAGTGGCAAATTTGGCAGCATGCATTCCGCATTTTTTTTGGCCAGGTTTGGGGTGCCATTACCTAGTAATAACAATGCAAATACATTCTGCGTTTGTGCATGTATCGTGATCGCGTGGGAAAGCGTACTGCAAGATACTGTATGTGGAAGCCAACGTCAAGGTCCCTGTGTGTAGTTTGGTCCTAACTCTAATCTGTGAGAGCCTCCATTTTGGAGCATACATAATAGTGATGCACCGATACCTGTTTTTCTGTATCAAGTACGGGTATATTTATCTTTCAGTACTCACTGATACTGAGTACCGATACCGGTACTTCCGCCAGAATGGAGCTGGCTTCCCGACCAATCAGGAAGTCGGGCGGCGTGTCATTACCCAACACCCGGCTTCCTAATTGGCCAGAAAGGCGGCTCCATGCTGTTTGACCGGTTCTATGCTGATTGGCAGGTAAACTGGCTTCCTGGCCAATGAACATCGAGCCGGCCAATCAGCATCGAGCCAGCCAAACAGCATGAAGCCGGCTTCCCGGCCAATCAGGAAGCTGGGCGGCGAGTCATTACCCGCCGCCCAGCTTCCTGTTTGGCCGGGAAGCCGCCTCCATGTTCCCTCGCGGCACTGCTGGTCAGAGGAAATCTCCCTCTGACCGGAAGTTCCGGTAGAGGGGGTAAGCATCAGAGCATTTGGGCGAGTACGAGTACTCACCCAAATACTCGGTATCGGCACCAATACCAACACTAGTATCGGTATCAGTGCATCCCAAATACATAGCAAAGGATAAATTGGGTGCAGGTTGGCCAGGAGGCAGCCCAACCTCCTTAAAGGTACACCAGGAGCCACACACATCACAATGGCAGCAGAAGCCCCCAGTGTGTCCCCACACCCAACCCAACAAGTGAAACAAATGACAAACGCACTCATAACACACACAAACACGAAAGGGAAAAATGCAGAATGCATGTCGCAAAGTTTGCTACCTGCTGCTCCTGCAGTCCAGAGAGTGGGCAGGAGAAGTTGGTGTTAGGCTTTGGAGAGGGAACACGGCAGGAGGGACAGCTCCGGGTACAGTGAGGGGTCCCAACAGGCTTCAAAGCGCCACGTAAAATGACAGAGCAGGGTCAGCGCACAGTGTGCAGAAGTTGCCAACTGTCTGAAGAGTCAATAGCTACAGACCTCCAAACTTCTTGTGGCCTTCAGATTGGCACAACAACAGTGTGTAGAGAGCTTCATGGAATGGGTTTCCATGGCCAAGCAGCTGCATCCAAGCCTTACATCACCAAGTGCAATGCAAAGCGTCAGATGCAGTGGTGTAAAGCACGCCGCCACTGGACTCTAAAGAAATGGAGACGTGTTCTCTGGAGTGACCAATCACGCTTCTCTATTTGGCGATTGCCAGGAGAATGGTGCGGTCTTAAGGGAGTGGTTCTCAACCTTTTTAGGGCCGGGACCCCTTGGTAACATTTGCCAAGTTGTGGTGACTCCCAACGGTAAAATTTAGGGATGATGCGGCTGCTGCAGAGACATCTGGCGGCGTGGCGGGAGAACTGACACTGCTGAGCTAGGAGAGGGCAGAGGAGGACTCTCACCTAGCACAGCAGAAATCACACAGCGACCCACAGGTTTAGAACCACTGCTTTACCCACAAGAGCAACCCCATCTGGCCACCCTAGTACACTACTGCCCCCTCCTAGTCAACCTTACATAGAACATCACCTCAAGCTTACCCCCAACCACAGCTATTACCCCCCTC